CAGGCTCTGAGCTGTCAGCACAGAGCCCAACATGGGGCTCAAACTCACGAACTGTGAGATCATGACCTGGGCCGAAGTCGGATGCTCAATTGACTGAGCCACCCAGGCGCCCGACAATTATTTTTCTTAAGACATATATGCTGATGTCCTTAGGGATGGTATGCTATAATTTCTCCAGGTATCTCAAATTACTCAATAAAACATTAAACACACACACACACACACACACACACACACACAAAAGGAGGGACAGAAGATGACAAATGTGACAAATAATAATGGGTGAATCCAGGTGAAGGATGTATGAGTGTTCCTTGCAATTTTTGTGCAACTCTCTGTAGGACAGATATTTTCAAATATAAAAGTTGAAGGAAAAGATATACCATTTTGTGCCAATCAACTTGAAAACTTAGAAAAAGGTGACCAATTTCTAGAAAAAAATAAATTGCCAAAACTGACTCATGAAGGAATAGCCAACCAGAATGGTTCCATAACCAGAAAGATATATATCAATAGTCAAAAACAAAAAAAATCCAGGCTCCTCCCCTGACTTCTGACAAACATCTTAAGCAAAAATATTTTCAATGTGACAAATTCACAGAAAAACTAGAAACAGAGGAACACTCCCCAACACATTTTGTGAGGATACAATAACCTTGATACTAAATCCTGACAAGGGGAAGTTGAAAAAGCAAAATCATGGGTAAATCACACACTCATGACAAAGAGGCAAGGATCAGAAACAGAATATTATCAAACCGAATCTTACAGGGTAGAAGACAGAAAATACATAATGTACTATGACTAAATTGCATCCATTGCAAAAATACAAACTTGATTTAATTTCAGAAAATAAGGTACTATAATATTCCAGATTCACCCATGACAGGAGATGATTATGGTCCTCGTATTCAGAAAAATAAATAGTAAGAAATAATATCTATTTGTAATATAATTTTCACATTAAAAATTTTTTTAATGTTTATTTTTGAGGGAGAGACAGAGTGCAAACAGGGGAGGGGCAGAAAGAGAGGGAGACGAAGAATCCGAAGCAGGCTCCAGGCTCCGAGCTGTCAGCACAGAGCCCGATGCGGGGCTCAAACTCACAAACCGTGAGAGCATGACCTGAGACGAAGTCGGATGCTTAACCAACTGAGACACCCAGGTGCCCCCACATTTTTTTTTAATTCAAGATTATCGAGGTACCATTTACATCAAGGTCTAGGAGTCCTTATAAACACATACTGTTATGGAACCACCACCACAAGCAAACTACAAAAAATGTTCATCCCCAAATTCTGTCATGCACTGATAGATAAATCCCTTCTCTCACACCCACACACTGGCAGCCACCGATCTCTTCTCTGTCCCTATGGTTTGGACTTCACAAGAATGTCATAGAAATGGAATCATGCGGTATGTAGACCATTGCATTTTGCATCCTTCACAGAAAGGGATGTACACATGTGGCATTTCTCAGGGTCAATGTACCGTTTCCTCACCTGGGTAGTAGTCACATGGCTTGTCAAATTGTAGACTATCTACAATTGTGTGTATACGGGGTTTATACATATATGGTTAATACTTGCTCTCATGTAATTTATCCATTCTATCTTTGTATTGGTTACTTATTAAATAGCAATTGTTATCCTTTCAAAGAAAGATTGGAAAAGTCAGACAGAGGTCACCTTGAGAGAACTAAGGAGGAGAAGTGGCTGGCATGGGGCCAAATTCCTATCAGTGTTCTCCAAACCTGAGTGGTAGTTACCAGGACTACAACCTTGAGGGAGCACGGGGGCACCGAAAACTCTGTAGTCACACGAATGGTGTGTGCTGGGATCATGCAAGAACAGCTCATGTGGCCACCCTGGCAACCCCAAGGTGCTGGCTGGCCAAACCTAGCAAACTAGCAAACACAGGCGAAGGTCTCCCCATCTCAAGGTCAGTTGAGTAGCAACCATAATTACACCTAAAACCTTAATTCCCATTGCCTTGTCAAGGTAACATATTAGCCAATTCCAGGAGTTAGGACATGGACCTCTAATTCCTATCTAACTTGAGGACCATTACTCTGGCCACCACACCAGGCTCTTTCTCCAGCATTCATCTCCTCCTACCCATTGTTCAGAGAAAGGTTGCCTGCTGGTTGTGGTGGCACTGGTGCTGGTGCTGGAGGAGGTGGAGAGGGAGGCATCCGCCCAGGTGTTGGGCAGGTAGCAGGAGGAGGCAGCATGGGGTCCAAGGCTCTCCAGGCCAACCACCACTGCCTCCCTGGCTGGAGAGGAGGCTTGAGGGGGAAGGCAAAAGGGGCACACTAAATTAGGGCAGGGGTCCCACCTTCTCCTTTCTCCTGGGGCCGACATGTATTCCCTTAACCTATGCCTCACCATCTGCCACTTCCTTCCACCTGGAACCTGAAGGGGCCAGGCCACAGCCTGTGATGTACATGGGTTACAGCAATATTGCTGTGTGGCACTTGGTCTGAGTATGGGACACAGGCCGTGTGCTCAGAGAAGGGAAAGGAGGCTGGCAAACCTAGTCAGGGAGGATTGTGACCCTGTCCTCCCATGTCCCCTTCTCCCCTTCTTCACGCTGGCCTTCTTCAGCCCAGGGCTCTGGGCTCACTGGCCCTCCTTCCTCCAGTGGGGCAGAGCTGGTGCTGGACTCCTCCCCACTCACAACCTGCCCGTGTCTCCGTGGGCGGACATCCCAGCTGGAAGGTCTCTGCCAAAAGCTTTTGCTCAGCCGGTGTGCTGTGTTACCCCGCCAAGAAGTAACCGTTGGGTCAGGGTCAAGGCCAGAGCCTGAGCAACCAAGTCCACCTTCTCAAGTGAGGGGCTTGAAAGGGAAGAATTTAGTCCCACGAATGTTCTTTTCCAGGCTGAGGTCTGTGCTTGTCCCACCCCACGTGTGATGGCATGTCCACCTGAGCTCACGCCACAGGCCCTTCCGGAAGGCAGTGTGAGAATGGGCGGGGGGAACCGAGAAGCCACTCTCTACTTGCCATCCTCACTGACACATCCTGCCCGTGTCTCTCTTAGCACCGGGCACAGCAGCCTCCTTGGCGATCCTCCTCTCTACTGCTAAGATGAGGTACATCCCAGCAACTCCGAGATAGCCTTCTCTCCTATTTTTGTTCCTTCAGAACAGCCCGGAGGGGTCAGACCTCACAGCATCGCACAGTAGGATCTGCAGCCTCCTCTGGCAACTCCCAACATTTTGAGCGTCTCCAAACCTGGTCCTGGGGTCTGGGGACTTCTGTGTCATTCCCCTCCTGTTTTAGGAATTTAACAGCACCCCCTGAAAAGTAGATGCGACCCTTGCTTGTGCTCATGCAATCCCTTGCAGGTGGTTGTTGTTGTTGTTGTTGTAATATTTATTTATTCATCTTGAGAGAGAGAGTGCTAGCTTGAGCCAGGGAGGGGAAGAGAGAGGGGGAGAGAAAGAATCCCAAGCAGGCTCTGCATTGTCAGCACTGAGCCGGACGTGTGGCTCCAACTCACCAACCTTGAGATCATGACCTGAGCTGAAATCCAGTCGGATGCTTAACCAACTGAGCCACTGAGGTGCCCCATCCCTTACACATTCTTGACCATGGTCTCCACTCCTTTTACTCCTTGAACCCCAGATCTCTGCCTCAAAGCTGATTATCCCTGATTAATGTTATTCACACATGCACACAGATGGACACACACACACACACAAACCCCAGTCTTGACTGTTCTGTTGGCACCGACCTACCCCTCCGCCCCGAATTTCTGTGCATAAAACGCCCAGTCTCTTGGGAAGAGGGTCTGGTGTGGCAGAAGCTGCCCGTACCTCACTGAGACCTGGCTCCTGGCTGAGGGAAGGAAGCAATGCCCAACCCCCAGTGAGCGGCAAATGAACATGGAGTTCAGACTAAATCTCGCATGACCTCAAGAGGCAGCCAGGGAGCCTGACCTGGGACACAGAACTAGCATTTCATGGTGCAGGTCAAATGGCACTGGAAAGGGGCCCGTGCAGACACATGGAGACCCATCACGCACACTTGCCATGGAAGCTGGCCACGTTCCAGCCAAGGGCAGTGCGACCACCAGGCTGGAGGAGGGGCAGTGAGGAGGCTTGGACGTGAAGGACACGAGAGCTCCCACGGCTGTGCCGTACATTTCCAGGTGCTGGCAGGCAGTTTGCCCCAGGTTGGCCCAGAGCCACTGCAGGCCCCATCGCCCCCCCTCCAGCCCAGACACCAAGCTGTGCTTTTCTCCCCTGGGCCCTATACCTGCTCTCTGGCTCTGCACCCCACTGGGCTGTGACTTCTGCCTCTACCCCGCTTCTGAACCCAGGGAGGGAGCACTGACAGGATTGGAAACTGAGGGCCAAGGCCGAGCACTAAATGGGAGAGGAGGAGGAGGCGCCAGTTCCTGGGCCAGCTGCCCTTGTGCCTGTGAGGTGGCAGCACAAGAGGGAGGTAAGGACGCCTAGAGGGGGCTGGGCCCAGGAGGGGGGAGGAGCAGCTCAATTGTGCCCTATAACATCTGTGGAAGCACAGGTGCAGGCGAGGCCACTGATGACAGAAAGCCACGGGAGTGACCTGGGAACCTCAGAAGTCAGAGCAGACAGTGGTCCCAAGGAGGGAAGGGAACAGGGACTGGACTTCTGGAAGGGGTCATGAGTCCCTACAGGAGGGGGAGGGGGAAGGACGGAGATGAATGGGAACCTAGAGACCCAAAAAGAGGAGGAGATTAGGAGAGAGCCTGAAGGGAGCCTGCAGGGGAAAGGGGGGCAGGTGCTCGCGCGGCCAGGTGGAGCCCACACCCCACCCAGACGGGGACACTCTGCCGGCGTGACTGCAGGGTTCCCAGCGGAGGTGGCCCAGACTTCTCTCAAGGACAAGGCCCACCACACGACACCTGTTCTGGAAAAGGCTGCAAAATAGAGCAGCTCCCTGCCCTGACCCTCCTTCTCATCCCCAGCCACCTCCTCACCCCCCCAGAGAGGACAGACTTGAGAACATGAGAGATACTTTAAATTTTTTTTTTTCAACGTTTATTTATTTTTGGGACAGAGAGAGACAGAGCATGAACAGGGGAGGGGCAGAGAGAGGGAGACACAGAATCGGAAACAGGCTCCAGGCTCTGAGCCATCAGCCCAGAGCCTGACGCGGGGCTCGAACTCACGGACCGCGAGATCGTGACCTGGCTGAAGCCGGACGCTTAACCGACTGCGCCACCCAGGCGCCCCTTTGAGAGGTACTTTAATTTGAAGGTGCTGTGAACTTGGGTGGGGAGGTGGCAAAAAACAGGGAGAGGAAGCCCAGGCCGAGGTCGAAAGTCGAACGGGAGGGAAGCAGCTTGGGCACAGCTTCCTGGCTCCAAAGGTACCAGCCGCCCCTCTTGTACAGAGATGCTGACTCAGCCTGTCCAACAGAGCAGAGTCAGGGAAGAAGAGCATCAGGCCAGGGCCAGCCCACGGCCCTCCTCAGCAGCCACGACCGTGGGAAGGGGTATGGTGTGTGTAACACTCACTTCAAAGGGTCTGGAACTGGTCAGTCAGGGACTGCAGGGCCGCTGAAACAGAGACAGGCATTAGCAGGTGCTCCGGACCCGGGGACAGAGAACCCTGTGCTCCTGTCCCCTTGGAGAACTGCCTAGTCCTGCAACCTGAAACCCACGCCCCCCCCTCCCAGCCCCTATCCAAAGAGCCCTGTGACTGACCCACTCACCCACCAGCTGAATTAAATATGGATGTGTCGTATAGGGGAACAAAACGTGCCAGTAGTTCTCAAGTTCTGGGTCAACTCGGAACCATTCAGAGCTTGTCGGACAAATACACACTGTCCAAGCCACACCAAAGAGCAGTTAAAGGGAAAATCAATGAGGCATCTCTAAACGTCCAAAGAGAGAGATTCTCTGGGACTCATGGTGGTCGGCAAACTGTGCACCCAGGTAGGCGACTTTCCCATTGGTGCACACACCTAGCTGTACACGCAAAGCGGGCTCCAGGGTCAAGCCTGCTAGGTTCCCCTTCCAATGGGAATCTTGGTCCCTGTGGGGCTGCCTGCACCTGCAGCCCATCGCGGGTCCTGCACTGAGACACACCCCCCAAGCCCCCCTCTGCCTCTGCCCTGACCCAGCCCCAGCTAGAGGTTCCTCATACCAAGCTGCTCTTTCAGGTTGTCAACTTCTCTCTGCAGCAGGAGACACTAGGCCCACAAACATGGGAGAGAGAGAAAAGCATATTAGTATACCCTGGCCTCTCTCCTCATCCTCCCCCTCTCCTGTGAGCACCACACACCAAGGCCCAGTGGCTAGACTGGCACAGGACCCTCAGTGGAAAGGAGGCGCCTTCCCTCTGTGGGGAGCAGAATGGGAGGGGGGTACATATGTCAGTTTAACCTGGACACGGATCCCACCAGGTAGTTGGGGCCTGCGTTTCTAGGAGCCAGAGCAAGCATTACCTGAGGACAGCCCTGTGCTCCAGGTGGTTGCTGCTGCCTTTCCGGTCTTGGGGGGTGGACAAGCGCTTCCTGGTCATCTGAGAGGGAAAGAACACAAAATCCAGCTTCCAAGGCTCCCAGTGAGGTGGAAAGGGCTTCGTGGGTCTAACGTGAGGCAACACCACCCTCTGCTGGCAACAAGTTGCCCCTGCTCTGCCAGCAGCTCCACTCTTCTTCCTGGGCGTGCCTCTCCGGTCTCCCAGGGCCAGCCCATCCTTGATGGTGGTCCCCAAGGCCGGTGGCTCTGAGCTGGACTCTCCCAGAGCTGCAGCCACAGCCAGCCACTGGGAAGAGCAGCACGGCCAAATACAACTTCGTGGAACAAGGCTCTGTTCTGCTGAAAGTCTATGTCCGGGGTTGGGGTTTGGGGGTGTCCACGAACCACCCCTGCCACACAAACCCCACGCAGAGGATGATGTGGCTTAAGGCCAGTCCTGTCGACACCCTGTTTCCCATGGGAGAAGCTGCCTGGGTCAGAGAGGAGGCAGGGAACAAAGCTGAGCCTCCACCCTCCGCAGAGCCACAGGCAGAGGCAGAGGCAGAGGCAGAGGCGGCCCTCCTGATCCCGTCTCCCCTGCACTCCTGTGCAACCTGCAACACTCACCCGAGGGTGCGGGCTCTCTGGGCATGACGTCTCCCTGGCTCGGAGCCAAGGGCTGTGAGCTTCCCTGAAACTGGGGGGCTCTGGGGTTGAGGTCACCACGACTGCTTGCCTCACGATGCATGAACGGACAAGACGGCTCTGGCCTGTGTGCTGAAAGCTGCTAAAAGAAAAATTTCTCACTCATTTGGACTTGGGATGTTTTGTGTTTTGTGGGGGTGTAGTAGGTGTACACGGGTGTGTGTGTGCGCACGCACGTGTGTTTAGGGGCTGGGGTGAGGCAGGGCGTAGGGAAGGGAATTCAGAAGCTGATCTGGCTAGTTAGTGCTTTCTCCCTCAGTCAGCCCCAGGTCAGGAGGCAGCGCTGAGCTCGGGAGAAGAGGGGGCCACTGACAGGGCCCAGGCTCCCTGCATGGAAGGCTTGGGGACCAGCTACAAAGTAGGAATCAGGAAGCCCAGGAGTCTCAAGACTGAAGCTTTGCAGTCCAAACTTTCAAGGGGCAGGGGCTCCCCGATCCAAATCAACTACCAGCCCTCCCTTCCATCCCAGACCCTCTCTGGGCTGGGGGGAGGCAGGAAACGTGCCCAGGTCCAGAATGGTGCCCAGCACACATGGAGCGCTACCTTCATGTCTGCCCTTGTGCAAATGACCGGGTCCAGCATCCCGGTGACCTGGTGGGGGGGGGGGCGCCCAATGGCAGCCCCTGAGGGATGGCCAGAGGGAGCGTGGGTCAAGAAGTGCTGGTCAAGGAGGGGAAGGGCAAGGGCCAGAGGAGGAGCACAGCTTACTCACCTTTGGGACAGCGTCTCTGTTTGAGTCATTGTCTTCTCCAGCCACCACCGGCTCCGCCTTCTGAGTCCTCCTGGCGACAGATTTCTTCCCGGCAGGGGTGTGCTTGGACTGTTTGGTTCCCGGAGGGACCAAGGAATACCTCTTGGACCTCCCAAGCAGCGGAACACCAGTTACTGGGGGGAAGGTGGCTGGTTCCAGGGGTGCCGCGGAGACTCTCTGCCCCCAGGAAGGGAACATTCTCCCCAGGGCAACATTTGAGGTCCCCCCTGGGGATTTCTTCTCCTGGGCCACCTTTTTCTTAGGGGTGGTCCGGGGCAGGCCGCCAGCAGCAGCAGATCTTGGGTAGCTGGGCCTGTTCCCCCCCTTCCCCCTGACCACGCTCTGCATTTTCCTAGAGGAGGAGATGTCCAGCTCTCCAACGGCCTGACTCTCCACAACCGAAGTGAGTCCTCGGGGAGCGGAGGACGGGAAAGAGCCAAGCATGTGGAGGAAATTCTCCCTGACATGGAATTTCGAGTGTCTGGGTGTGTCCCAGGGATCCTCGGGGTTGTTGGGCTTGAGTTGGCCTCCTCCTTTGGCGTAAATGCTCACCCTCATCAGCTGTATCTCACTAAACTCATCTGCTGACTCGCTGTCGGAAAGCAGCTCGCTTTCGGCGGGCTTTCGGCGGAGGGCCGCTGGCGATCCACCACGGCGACGTTCGACCTGCTCTTCGTGCTTGTTTTCGGGTTCGCCCAGGCCGGGCCTCCCTCGGGCTCACCGAGGCGGAGAAGGGCGGCGGCAGGCGGCTGCGACTCTCTGCGGCTAAGGGCAAGCGCGCCTCTCCCTTGGGGCCCTGCCTCCAGGCCCGCCTCCACGACGCAGCCCTCCGGGTACGGGTTTCTCCGCACGCCCAGGCCATCCTGGTTGGTCAGCTGCTGCACGATGGCTGCCACGGCCTCGTCCGCAAGGTGGGACGCGCAGTCCAGGGCGTCCCCCGAGTGGTCGGTCGGGGAGCCGGGGCGGCCTTCTAGGTCCCAGAACACGGGCCCTCCCGTTTCCGTCACTTCCTGCTCGGACTCGAAGCCCTCGGGGTCTGGGACCCCGCCCTCGTCCTCACCGCTGGGTGGCGGCCCCAGATCCACACCTAGTCCCTGTGGGCCCCGCGGGGCTCCAGGGCTGGCAGGGCCGACGCCGGTCTGCTCCCCGCCCTCCTCCCCGAAACCCGCTCCACAGCTGGGCACCTCATCGGGGGCGCTCATGCCGCGAGGCCCGGCAGCCCTGGTTCAGGGAAGACGGTCGCCCTGGCCCCGGCGCCACAGGCAAGATGGCAGAGGCACGAGGCGAGCGACGAGTCCTCCGGGCGACGCAGTCAATTACCACAGACGCCGCACCAGGCCGCACGAGACCTCAAACGCCGCGCGGCTTGCACACGCATTCGACGCCCGCGCCACGGCCTCCTCATTGGTCTGTCCCCCGCCAACCAGCGCGCGCCCCTCGTTTGCCCGCCCCTCGAGGCCCTGGCCAATGGGGTGGAGCGCCTTTGGTCTCCGCCCTCCCAAGCAGGTCGGGGTGTTGGGTCTCTCGGGTGTGGCGGCCGGTTGGTAGGCCCTGTTGTCCGGGCTCTTCTGGGCCCGCCTCCTACTTTCCAGTTGGGAGTCACGGCTTCTAGCCTCTGTCCGCCCGTGCACAGAGTGGGTTGTGATGGCACCTGTCTCCGGGGTTGGGGATGACCCGTCGGGACGGAGGTAAAGCACCCGCCGAGAAAGGATTTGCCGGCCTCTGTCCCACGGCTGCTCTCAGAACCTGATAGGACAATGGGCACGGGAAGCCCGCAGTCAGTGATCATGGGACCTGTGGCATATTCCCCCGCGAAGGGCCGGAGAGCAAATGTGGTCCTATTTACGGGCCGCAGCGTCTCTGTTGCATCCGCTTGACCTCGGTGGGCGATGACATTGGTCCCTGGATGTGTGCTCAGGGAACTTTCTTGGCAGGCGGGTTTGGCGCAAAGGCTGGACTTGGCCCCCGACCCCGACCCTTCTCCACTCCGAGGCAATGCAAAGAAGAAATCTCAATGGCCAGTGCATACGCCAAAAGACGCTCACCATCACAAATCCTGGAGATGGCGAACTAAAACCGCGAATCAGTGTTCACAGACCAGACTTGAAAGAGTCAAAGAGCTGAACCATTCCGAGGTTGGGAGAGGTTCTGAGTAGAGCCCTTGCTTTTGCCCACTGCTGGGTGGGGGGTCGGGTGGAGGAGGGGGCAGCGGTGCAGAAGAGCCCTTTGGGAGGGTAAATTGGCAGAATCAGTGCCAACCAACTTATACAACAGGTACCACATGCCTGGCTCTGTTGTAAGCACTGTAGTTAACTAGTGACACATTGTCGAGACAATCCTAGGGTTGAGGTACCCACTAGTACCGCCCTATTATGGGTGAGCAAACGGGCACTGAAAGGCTCAGCCACTGGCGCAAGGTCATTTGTTTTGTCGGGATCCGCGGCAGGATCGAAACTTGTAGTTTGGCCCCGGAGTCCTTGCTCTGAGCTCTGAGTGGAGAATCTTAAAAGAGAAGAGACGCCCATTCCCCCTGTGACCCAGCAAGTCCACTGCCACTTACATCTTCTGGGGACGCTCTCGTTCGTGTAATGGACAAGGAAGGATACGTGCACAGGAATGTTGGTGATGGGGAAAACTGGGAACACTCTGAATTCCCATCAGTAAGGGGGAAGTGGATGCAAGCAACTGATGTTCAGCGCATCTGGTAGACTGAACCACGCTAGTCAAAAGGAACACGTGAGGCCGTGTTCACACATTTCAAAGCATCCTCGTGACTGAACACAGTAATTTGGAGATCACTGGAGCTGGACACACATTTGTAAGTAGTCAAATGAAAATTTAAAACGGAACCAGTCCTATGTTGAGAGTGCACATAGGTGTCGGTACAAGTATGGTGAAAGTTCTGGAGCATGCACAACTAACACCTAACAGTGGTGGTGGTGGTTGGGGTGGGGCGCCAGTTGTCTCTCCAATTGCTCTACAGCTACCGGTTCCCAGCTTCTCTGAGCTGAGCAGTCCCAATATCTGGGGAGTGGTCCCTCCCTTGATTTCTGTGAGGTGCTCCAGTGTTAGAATTTCCCTTGCTTGCCACCCAACCCCTACTCCAGGAGCCCTGGATTCCTTCCATACTTTCCTTCCTCTCTTTCCCACTCTTAATGCTCTGTCTGGCCCTCGCTTTCCTGCCTACATCCTACTCTGGCTGATCCTCAAGAGGGGCCTGAGGTACCTCAACACCTCTTGCCTGCGTAATCGCAAAGGCCAGGTTTTGCTGGGTCTGCAGCTGAGAAGCCTACCGTGCTGGGAAAGGTTACAGAGCAGGGGGGATTGGGCGTACTCTAAATCTGCAGTCAGCCTCCTCAAGCATGCCCCCAATATCCCTACGTGTGTGTGTGGAAAACGCCCTCTCCCACTTCTCCCAGTGGCTCTTAAAGTCATGCTGTGCAAAATGGATCACGAAGGAGACAGCAGAATCTCCTCTACCCACCACCCTCTTCGGAAATGTTACCAATGGATTCAGTCGAAGACTCCATTGGCCCTCTTGCCATTTCCATTCCCTTCATCCTTCTCCCTCTCCCCCATAGACAGAATCCTAGTGCCTTTCCACACCTTCACCACTCTCTTCATCACTGGGGTTCTCCTACCTCCTCTTCTGTTGCATCCTAAAGGTCTCCAGTGGTGTCCATAATTGCTGCTAACTCCCTTCCTTCAACCTCACTAGGATCCCATATTGGTTTTGACTTACTGTTCTGGCCTGGGCTGGGGACCAGTGTCAGAGGATCCACCTGGCCTTCCTGACCATGATAGTTTCTTGCCCCACAGACAGACCAATGCCCCAACGTGGGGGTTTTTGCTCCAACTGCCGAATGTATCAATCGTCAACTTGTGGACTAGAGAAGTGACCACTGCGTTGGCCTAGGGATCCAGTCGGCTTTCCATGACTGGATCTCTATCCCAACTCCTTTTATTACCAGGGTCTCCTAAGTCCCACTCTAGCCAGACCTCATGGTGACACTTTGGGGCTCCAGTATCAATGTCACCTCGGACCCTGGGTCCAATAGTCCTAGAAATGTCTGGGTATTTCTCTTTCCCCAGTGCACTGTCACTTGAGAAATGGCAGTCATTCTCTGTAGGGAAGTCCGGTGGCATCATCATAGTATGTATATACTCATCACCTTGTTTCTTGACCCTTCCTCCTCAGGACTCCTCCACCTCTTGAGTCAGTGGGGCTGGTCTCAAAATTGGCTCAGGACCAGGAACTGAGCAAGAAATTGTAACTTTTTACTGGGACGACCACCTCCTTTCTCTTGCACCCTTGCCTTTGTCTGGCTGTAGCTGCCCCGAGGGAGCCAGGCTGTCTGAACCATCCTCTCAGCTCCCTGCCAGTCAAAGCACTCTTGACTGCCACCCTGACCTTGCCGGTTGTTACAGGAAAGGTAGTCTCCTGAGGTCTCTTGATTGAGAGTTACTCTCTGCTCTCTATTACATCAGAATTCCATCACTCTCATGGATGGTAATGAGCTCGGGCCAGGACCACTTGCTGCCATCACCTGCATCGGCCTGCAGAGGGCAGCAACCGCTGAACTTTGGTGAATGGTGGGTCCACTGGGCCCTCTCATGGAACTTAATGGTTAGGCCATGTGACTGGCCTCACCTTTTCTATCCGTTCCAGCTCGCCTGCATCATTCAGCCTTGTTATTCCTTCCTCTACCCTCTGCTAGTCCAAGGCAGGCACTTCCACTTCTCAGTGCAGGCCACCACCTTCTTGGAGCTTTTGAGGGCCACTCTGGTGGTGAATCTATCTACTCCATCTCCTGGAGTCCCTGCCAGTGGGTTAAACCCCGTGGTATGAGAAAGTGTCCCTACTCAGCAAAACCTGATTATCCAGTCTTCTATTCCTGTCCTCTTGATCCAGCACCCTCAAAATCCAATCCTAGGGATATCCCCCTGCTCCTGCCAGTACAGACTGTCTATTTCTTGCAACTCCCTTGGTGTATAGTTTCTTTATGGAGAAAAGATCAGGGCTTCCACTGGGACGGGCACCTGTGGCTTTGGCAGGGAGCAGACTGCAGCATCTATCAGCACAGGGCACATGCTGGGTCTTGCTAAGGAAGGAAGGGCCACCCTGAAAGCCCTGAGACCTCAGGGGGTGGGGCCCTGGAACAAAGGAATCAAATGGTATATTAGAACACATCTATCTAGGGGCGCCTGGGTGGCTCAGTCGGTTGAGCATCCGACTTCGGCTCGGGTCATGATCTCAAGGTTCCTGGGTTCGAGCCCCATGTCGGGCTCTGTGCTGACAGCTCAGAGCCTGGAGCCTGTTTCGGATTCTGTGCCTCCCTCTCTCTCTGACCCTCCCCTGTTCATGCTCTGTCTCTCTCTGTCTCAAAAATAAATAAACGTTAAAAAAAATTAAAAAAAAAGAAAGAACACATCTATCCAACACAGAAGACGGTAGCCACAGAGAAATGGAGGCACAAAAAGACATGAGAAATGTATAACACTCATAGCAAAATAACATCTGCAAACCAACCCATATTATGAACGCATGAATCCCTTTAATCACAAGGTAGAGAGTGTCAATCCAGTAGAAGAAACGGATGGATTCAACTACCTTTTGACAGGGGATATCCTTCCAATAATGGCATAAACCCGCTGAGAGTGAGAGCACAGTGGATGATAGTGTGCCATTGTGGCCATAATAACAAGAGACAAAGTTGACTTTTAAGACAGAGAGTGTTCCTAGAGACAGAAGTGGACATTTCGTAACGACAGAAGGATCCACTGATGTGGGAGACATAACGATTTCAAACTTCTACGCACATAGGTACGGAGCCTCAAAATACCTACGACAGAACTTGACAAAGTTGATGGAAGAATTAGACCATGTAACGTTAATATCTGGGGGTTTTAATACTCTGTCTCATCCACTGATAGAAGGACTGGACAGAAAATTCGCAAGGATACAGAAGACCTGAACAGCAGCCTCTGTTACCCTGAACAGCAGCCTCTGTTACCCTGAACTGACATCTATGAAACACTCTGTTCAACAACATTTGAATACACATTCTTTTCAAGTCCACATAATCATTTTCAAAGATAGAACATACCGAGGGCCATGAAACTCATCTCGACAACTTGGAAGGGGTCTAGATTGTGCAAGGATTTAGCCCTCTGGTGGTATAGGTGTGTGAGAGACCATGAT